GAGAAGGAAACTGCTTAAGGGTTTCATTTGAAACAGTATTCATTCATTGAGTCGTTATTGGTTCTGTGTGAGGTTTCTTACAGTCGGAGCTTCATCTCTCACTGTATCTCAGCCTTCTTTTGGGCAACAATTGACAGAGGCTTGTTTCTATTTTTATCATCATTTGACCTACGCATTCTGTGGACCCAATCGTCCATCTGTGGAATGCTCTTTTCGAATGCCATTGGCCAACTAATCGACTTGTGGGTTCACATCTCAATGACAAAGCCCCAAAGCTTCTGCGTTTTTGTTGCCGTTGCTGTGCGTGGCACTTGAGTGCAACAAGTGGCACGTCGTCGAGTGGAGCATCCCGAGCGAGCTCTGGCCCATCTATGCTGAGCTCCTCGATTGGAAATACCCCCGACTCGGCGGCAATGTCAATGGAGCAGCAAGCACCAGCGAAGGGCACGAGAAGTGAAGCCAATGCCAAGAGGCGAAGGGTAAGGCGATCGGTGCGAATCAATGGATGTCTGGCTGTGGCTACTGCACAGGTGACCTGATTTTCGGGTTTCATCACTATCTCTTTCCCTTTACTCTCTCACTCTCTACCACTCTCTCTTTCTCTCTCTGGAGATGGACCCTTCTGCCGCTGACTGTTGCCGCTTCTTCACCGCGCGGCCAAGTGCACCAATTCCCAATCAATTCCAATCGATTCCGTCCGATGGCCGATGGCCGGGTGACGTAAAGCAACCTTGTTGCAATTATGTACGCCCCAGCTTCTTGTCCGTCGTGTTGTATGGACATGTACCTACATGTACTTACCATTTCTCTCCCGGACCCGATGCGGCGGCTGCAATTACTCGTACGTTTTCTGATTTGTGTGTGGACAGCAAGTGGACAAGTGTCTTCGGACTCGGTTTATTTGCTTTCCATCTTTCGGTGTGCACCAAATCCAATTACGACCCAAGAGCGGTGCCACGCCGCATGCTACTCACTTGATTTGGGTGGCTGCTGTTTTGTTTTATCATTTATTGTTTCGACTTCTTTTTTTTCTTTCATGCCACATGCTTGGCTTCAATTATAAAATTGATTTTGATTTTGATTTTGTTACGTTTGTTTCGTAATTGTTGTCGTAGGTGTTGAAAGTGGATGGTAAATGGTGGATGGTTGAATGCCGACTGTCGACTGTCACCGGTTGACAGTTGGAGGAAATTATGTGCCTGGCCTTGAAAAGCCCTTCGGTTTTTGTTTTCTTTTTCTTGTTCAATTAATTGAATTTATGTTGAAGTATGTTAAGATTTAATTGGGAAATTCGGTAGGTAAGAATGAGGCAATGAATGACAGTTGGCATCAGTCTTTGATTGAGGTTCCTTCCATGGGAATTGTATACCCTTTGTTAGGAGCATTTTGAAGGTTTTTAATGACAAACGTACTTAACAGATTCCTGAAATTTATTCCAACTGAAGACACTAGTCTTTTGAACCTTCCTTTACCATGTGGTATTCATTTTACATAACCTTGTACAAGACCTCTTACAAAAGCTTGTATTATCCACCTTATGCCCCAACAAATCCTGGACCCACACAGAGGATTTAATTTCAGACCCATTTCCCTCATTGAGGGTACCTCTGAGGAGAGTTCCTGCATCAGGTCGTATTACCTAATCCTGAACCCAACTGGATTATCTGTTATCTTCGAATTCCATGGAATCACTTGACCTGGGCCACCACCAGGCTGGGTCCACAAGCTCAATGAACAAGTTCGATGTTGGTGCCACATGAATGAACTCCCGTCAATGGGGGCCTGTGACGAGTGCGTAATCATGGGTCACTTTCGATTCCGAGACAGCGGCTCGAGTGCGCTCCAATTGTGAAAATAACACTTGGCGCACTCATCCGAAGGTTGCTGCTGCTGCTGCTGCATCGTAGTGGGGCTCTCAGATACAAGATACAAGAGTGTTACACAAAACGTCTTCGGCCCGGGGTCCAGGGTCCGGGGCCCAGGGCTAGTGTGGATGAGCTGATGCTGAGGAAGCTTTTGGGGCATGCCTCTTCATCATTCTCTATAGTTGACCGTTCGCACCCCCACCCGCTGGGGCAGACGCCTCGGCTAGCGGCTAACGAAATGGATTTACAGCCCGGGGTTTTGTCTCCATTGGGATTGCTCTAATTTCTCGCTTGAAGACATCAAAAGACACGTGTCGCATGCCATCCTCTCCTGCCTCGCTTTTTGGCCAAGTTCATCTCCATGGCAGTCTCTCTTTCTCACTCTCGGGTCACTCTTTCGCTCTCGTTCGGTCCGTGTGTTTGTGTATCTCTTTTGATGCTTAATTAAATTCATTTTTTCCGTTTACCTTTTGTAATGAGATTTTGAGATTGTTGGTGGCGCAGTCAGCGTGTCCGAGTCTCCGACGCTCCGTCGCTTGAATCATATAAATGCCCGACGCGGCGCTGTCATCAGTATCAGTCGACGTTCGAGCTTCTCCATCGAAGCAGTCAATCGATCGAGCTTTAAAGGATTACGGGTTACAGTCATCATCACCGCCAGGAGCAGTCGTTAGCCATGCGTGTCTCGTCGCTGTTTGTCGTTTGTGTGGCCACGCTGGTAGCCGGAGCTGTGGCTCGTCCTGAACCACCATCGCCTTATGCCTACCATGGATTACCCCAGCAGCAGAGCCAGCGGGCACTGCCACTGAACGGTGAGTAGTACCAGAAGAAGGAGGAGAGTGACACGCACTAACACTCCCCTCTCTCTTCCATAGTTCATCCGGTTGCGCCACAAATCTATCAGACGCTGCCACAGGAGCAATCGTTCGCCAACTTTGCCCCGCCTCCAGTGCAGCAGCTCCAGGCACAGCCACAAATGACTTACCTGCCTCCCCAGCAACAGCAGCAGCAACAGCAGCAGCAACAGCAGCAGCAACAGCAGCAGCAACAGCAGCAGCAACAGCAGCAGCAACAGCAGCAGCAGCTACAGCAGCAGGACGCCATCCTCGAGCAGGTCGCTCCCGCCGCCGAGCCCCTGAACTCCTACGATGACAGCTACAACATGGCCCACCGCCTGTCGGGCGTGCAGCATGCCAGCGGCTACAACAACGCACCGCAGGAGACCAAGATCCATAAGCACATCTACGTCCATGTGCCGCCCAAGGACTTCGAGGAGGAGGATGCCGTGCAGCCACGTGTGCACCACCAGGTGGGACCCAAGCAGAAGCACTACAAGATCGTCTTCATCAAGGCCCCATCGGCACCGGCTCTGCGCGCTCCCATCGTGCCACCACCACCACAGAACGAGGAGAAGACCCTGATCTATGTGCTGCACAAGAAGCCCGAACAGGAGCAGGACATCGTCATCCCCACGGCACCACCCACCAAGCCTTCCAAACCCGAGGTCTACTTCATCAAGTACAAGACCAAGAAGGAGGAGGCTCCCGTCTACGGTCCCCCACCCGCCGACATGGAGCCCCGTCAGGCCACCGCCGAGGACTTTGCCCCGCTCGCGGAAGTCGCCGATGTCTTGCCACCCACCACCCTGGCTCCCGAGCCAGAGATCGAGCAGCCCGCCGCCATTCCCTCGGCCATCTATGGCCCGCCCACGGCGCCCGCCTACACTGGCGAGGAGGTGCAGACCACTCTGTCGGCGCCCGCCAACCAGTACCTGCCCCCTGCCACTGCCCCCGCCGCCCTGGCCATCGAGGAGCCCTCCATGGCGCCCATCATCGTCGAGGAGCAGCAGGAGCAGCGCCAGGCTCACATTCCCGCCACCAACTACGGTCCCCCCAACCGCTTCTTCCTCAAGAAGTTGAAGTAGGATCGTACGACGGAGAGGGAGATGTCTTAGCCAATTTCTCGTTTGTCATAGTCTAATGTCCATATGGATGCATACCCTATCGCCTATCGCCTATCCCTATCCCTACCCCTGCACCCTTCCCCCTTACCATGCACTGCATACACACACATTCACACATACACACACATGCACATCACGGCCCGCTTTGATTTGCTCGTTTGTAAAATTTGTTAAAGTTGTTAAATTTGTGTAGATAATAAAAATCGAATTTATAGAAAAAAAAAAAAAACACAAGATGTGGTCGAGGGAGACTAAAAATCTTTAGCTAAAGATATTATAAGATTTTAATCTGGATGAGTTCTGAAATACTGGCCAAGGGCGAACCTTTTCCGCTATAATATTAAAGCATCAGTGTTTCATCTAAATCTTTATCGAATTAGTCATTAAATTTCGGGAAGATTCAGTGTAAAAGTGTATCCATCTCTGTAAAATAATTTCATAATAATGCAAATCAGAGAATCCACCCGTTTTCGACGCTATAATATTATCCTTGCCTTCACTTGTGGTTTTCTGATCAGCTTTTATTATTTCATTCTTATGTTTTATTCTTTGTTTCTTTCTCCCCAGCTTCCGGCCGTTTGAAAGTTGTATGCCAACCCATAATCAGGGAAATACTTTCTCCTCTTTACGTATGATATTGCACTCTTTTCCTCTGTTATCCAAAACAAATATGATGCTGCACGTATTTCGCATTTCAGTGATTTAATGATGGCTAATACGCGCACTCGTGCTGCCGGCCAAAATGATAATTGACCTTTAAGCGAAGAGCTGACCTTGACGGATTTACAGCTCGCTTAATTGCGTTACGTTTTGTTAATTTCTGCGGTTGGTCCAAAGCAAAGTACTGGGCCTGGCTAATGCCCTTCCTCATTGCCCTGTGTTGGAGTGGCATGTGCCGGCTGTGGCTGTGGCTGCGTGCAACATGTTGCCCAGCGTTTCCCGCCAAAACCAACAGTTGATTGCGGTGCCTGCGCAAAGCGATGGCAACATGTTGCGCCGCCCCCCAGGACCAGGAGTAGGAGAGTAGGGCTTCAAGTGGTTCGTGCCGGAGCTTCGTGTCCGGCTGATCTGCAGTGGAGGGCTCGTGGGCGCTGCCACTGGCACTGCCACCCAGTCAGAGTCACAGCAACTGCCGACGGATGCCGCATTCAGTACGCTTTCTGTGTTCGTGCGATTCGCACCGATGGTGGGCGTTCTCATTCGCTTAGGCACTAGTTCCATGCGGCCCACGTACGACTCGACTCGTCCGAAATCGGGACTTATAAACGCATAAAAAAGCCATTCGATTCAATTGAAGACGGGCACGCGATGCAATAACCAATAAACAATTAACAAACTGCGAATATTCATCAAGTGGCGAACACTGCGTATACGCAATACGTGTACGCATAAATAATTCCAGTGACAATTAGTGATAAAAGTGAGTGCTCGAATGTGAAATTGTTCAACATTGTTTCGGTTCATTATTTGTGCCATTGACATTGACATTGTCATTGACGCCTCTGTCCCGGCCAACATCTCCCCGGGGGGTGCTGATTCCGCCCCGCTGCAGTTCCGAAGAACCGCTGCCGCTGGAGGAGAAAGCGGGCTCGGCACTAGGTGAGTTGTAATGAGCTTTATTTACCTGCTAATCAGCTTGTCCTCCGCGCTGGCATCGGGCTTGTCGCTCTGTTGTTTCTGCTTGTTAGCATTCAGTCAGATTTCGCACATTCTCCTTGGCATCTGTTCTGGATGGGATTATGTCCAGGTTCGCTTGGGCCTCGGTTTCAGTGGCACATGACCAGAATTTAATGGCAGACCAGTCCCACCCTTTTTCATTAATATTTAAGGGCCTTGAGAAGGTTCCTCAAAGTGCCAAAATTGATTTCCCTACGGCACCTGCAAGACAGCTGTCAAATACCATTTTTGACCCATTTCAACAGCTCGATTAGAGTAGAAACTACTCCTAATTGTCTGCAATTGTACTTTGTATCATGTACATAGAGTACACCTGTCTGCCAATAAGCTGATTGGCTTAAAGAAAAATCTCCTTCCTGGACTCTAAGACCTGGACGGCTATGATTGGATATTCTCTTTATTTGACACAAATGCGAGATGCAATTTCATCGCAAATTTTGTACTTATATTACATTATCCTTGGCGTTAGCCGGAAGTATCATCAATCAGCCGTTTGTTCCTTTTAGCTGGGGATATATGTATTAAGCATACGCAGCGTTGTCGCCAGTCGAGCGCTAAATATTGCATGATACGAGTACGAGTACGAGTAGGAGTAAGCGGATGGACGGTCCTCTAAGTCCGCCATCCATATGGCTCTCGTTGACAGAGGGCGACAACAAAAGGTGGCATGGTGGAGGAGGCTAATTATAAATTATGCAGCACGCAATCCCCCTACGTTTGCTCGTATGTGTTGCAGGTGAACGTGTATTTTCTCATAAATTTTGCAGGGGAATCTCTTTGCCGTTTTTTGGGCGGCAATAAAGGGACAAAGGCCTTCTTTGAACGACGGCTTTAATTGGTTTGGGCCTGATTTAAGCATTGGTCCTGGCCTTGGTCCAGGTCTTGGTCCTCTCCTTCTCTGTGCTCTGTGCTCTTTGCTCTGTGCTGTTTACTGCTTTGACACTTTGACCGGGTTTATGTGTCGCTTTAATGTCCACGCGCGTCGGGCGGCTGAGATTTATGGCTTGTCTGCCTCGGTTTATCTGTTTGTCTTGTCCTCACTGAATGTATCGCAGTTGCCCCGTGGACTGTGTTTTATTTATAAAGTCCACACTTCCAGCCTCCTCCTGCCATTTACATATGCTCGGAGATAATCAGATCGACAGCGAGAGCTGCCAGAATCAATATTGACACATTGAACACTTTGACGGGAACACTCGTACTTCTGTTTACCTAACGACGGCAGTGGCATTTCCCCATCATTTCCAGCATCATCATAAATAATAATCAATTCAATGTCAGACAGCCGCTTTTTCTCAGCCTTTTTTTATTAGGTTTTCTTTTCCTGCTGATTCTTTGGTTTTTTTGACAGCGCGATTCTGACACGAATTCGCGTTCCCCATTCCCCGCCCACTTGTCACGCCCATTTTATGTACTTCAGTTTATAGTTTTATGCCGGAAAAACTGAATTTAAATTGTGAAAAAGTGCGCTAAGAAAATAAAGGAATATTTGAAAAAGGTGATATGGCGGGAAATATTCAGACGGAAATTGGAAAATTCATTGAAAAATTGAAACAGCTTTAACTTAAAATAATTACCTATTATAAAATGAAGAAAATTTATTGAAATTTTTAAAATCATTTTTGAGCTTACGGGACTTTGAAATACTTACTAAAATATAAACAGAAAGTCGACAGAATATTGTGGAAATTATCGATGGGGGTATGGAAACAATAGGGCAATTTTTCACCCACATTTACTCTTTCATCTGGCAAATCTTTCTTTCCAAAGAGTCAATCATTCCATAGTCTCAAAGGGTACCATGTACCTCTTATAATTCTTCATGGTTCTTCTGATGGTTCAATTTGTTGTTCTCGAAACACAATGGCTTTTACAATGATAATTTTACAAATACATGCTTGAAATATTCATATAACTAAAATAGTATATCTGTATATCAAACAACCAATTCCAATTAAATTATATTTTCTACATTTTCCAGCAAATTAGTTTTGTAAATATTTTAGCCAATTTATTATTAGGTTATCGAATAGGAATACAAAAAAATATATCACAAATTGCAACTAGTAAATTGAACCAATCAGGGGGGCTTGTTTGCGTACATATTTTCGTAGCAGTTCATTTTGGGGAAATTGGTTTTGCTTTCCATTCACCACTCATCGAATCATAATTGAAATTGCCACTCAATTCCTGGGTCTTGTGTATACAATTCGTGACTCGGGGTTTTTTTTTGCACAAATAACTCAACGCCTGTATTAAAATTCCTGGCCCGAAACTTTGGTCAAGAGCAAAAGATGCCCAATGGTGGTGAGGAAATATGTGTCCACAGCGCAGTTAAGGCTCATGAATACTTCTGAGTTTTCCACGGGGACAGGGACGGTCATGGGGACGTGGGAGGGGGTGACGGATGCTGGGAAATTGATCGGAAATCACATTGAAAAGAGCAAACTAAACAAAATTAAATGGGAAACAGAAAAAAGTTTCGCATACGCACATACTCGTGCGCTCATAGATTTTAAGCAGCTTTTTGTATGTTGTTATTTTGAGGTGCTTCGCTCCCATTTACCATTCGCTGTTCTTCAAAGCACTTAGAACGCTGCCAAGAACACTGTATAACACTGTGGAAAGATAACCAGAGGAACGACATGACAACAAATTGAATTTGTTTATTTACAAAATAGACACGAAAACACGCCAGGGGAGAAACTTTCAAATAGTTGACTGACTAAAGATAGCAACAACACAACACCCAAGAAAAAAAAAAAAACTGGAAAGCCGTCGGTGTTTATAAAATGAGATTTAGGAGAAAGGACCCGATGGAAGGGGACTGGGAGAGGCAGATGCTTGCTCATAGTTCCTTTGAATCTTTTAAATATACATAATTCAAAATAATCCCTTCAACAAAATCAGCCAGATGCAGTTTACTTCGGGCCAGAGATTGATGCCTTCAAAGCGGAGCAGCGAAAAAATAGAATATTAAAAATTCTTGGCCTTAAAGTTTGCTCTTTGCTTGGCCGCTTTGATTGCCACAAAGTTCCTTGTCATTCAACAATTTTTTATTTTGCTGGAGAATTTATTCATTTTTCCTGCTCTTGGCGCGGAGATTCATCCTCGCTTTGGAGCTTGGCTGCCAATGATATGCAAATTTTCTTATAAATAGACTGTAAAAGGAGATTTTCATGCAACAAGCAGGAAACATCTCGCATTGGCTGCCTGCTAATGGGGCGTATGTGTAATATTTCGGCAGCATATAAGTGCCTCCATTGAAGTATAAGGAATTACCAAAAAGATTACCATTATTTGGCCTTCGGCCAGGCTGGTACGACTTTTTCTGTTAGGTTACATCATCCAAATATGCTTTACAGTCTGTAATTGGAATTCGCTGGCAGCCTTAAGTGATTCGCCAAATTCAAATTTCGCTTTTCGATTGTAACTTTTGCGTAAGAACAAGAACTCAAGTGAAGTGATGAATTCATGCATGTGGAAATGTGAAAATCTGCTTTGGGCAAACGCAAACCACTTCCATGCGGTTTGTTCCCTCATTTCAACCCTCAACGCGAAAAGCAAACCTTTTTTGACCACGCAAGCAAACCGCACCGCCCTTCGCCCAACCTGCAATAAAATGTAATCACAAATGAATTCAGCTAAATTTGGCATGTTATGGGAATCGCTTCAAAGAAATTATAGGGTGAGAGAGTACGCCACTTTTTTCAGCTTTAATTTTCACGAAAGAGCTGTGATACTGCCTTTCACTTGTGAAATTTTTCAGCTGTTAAATAGCACTATGTCGGGGTCAGTAAAGAGCTGAAATGGCATCCCATCGCCCGGAGTCTTGCTAATGGCGTTTCAATATCACTTCAGTGGCATGTGCTTTTGCTGGGGAAAAATGCAACTTAGAAGCTAGGGAGAGGGCTATTCCCAGGGCTCTGACAATTGTTAGTTGACACACTTCCAAGCGCACTTTTGCCCGAGGACGAGTATCATTAGGTGGCCAGGAAACATTAGTTCTGTGTTTCTTTCGGCCTTTGGGGAAAACGTTTCAGCAAGCGTGTTTTGAAAACTTCATCCCCCAAAAAAGGGCAACCATTTCCCTTTGAGCAACAAACGGAATATTTATTGCTGCCACAGATGGTTGTGATATTTGCTTGTCTTTTTCGGCCCTGACCTCGAGGCTCGACGACCGCAGCCCACAGCCTTAGTGGAATTTTCAAAAGGGATTCCGTGCCTACAACAATCGAACAAAATCAAGCGAAAAGTAAAACCGAAAACCCTAAATGAGTTGAGCTTTGATAAATTAACGGAGCGGATAGTGAGCCTAAGCATTGGAAACCTACGGATTGTGTCTGGCCATTGAGCTTAAAGGCTTTAAGGACGTGTCTCGGCGCTGGGCAAAGTGAATAATGAGCCCCGAAGGCGACTGACAGATGATGTGCCATGTGCGACCTTCTCACAAAAGCAACAAATGCCCAAGGGCTCTTCTTTTATGATGTTAATTTGTCGACCATATGCAGAACTTCAAGCGGAAACAAGCTCGAACAAGTGGGATATTTTACCCAAAGAAAATATGCAAATCACCATTCAGCTTGAATTCAACCTTACATTACAGAAGCCCTCTGTATTGTCATTCATTTGGTTGAATATTTCAGATTTGGGTTCTGAAAAATCGTTTGAATTTGGGTCGTGATAACCCTTTTGACTCGGAATGGGACCTAAACTTCCTAAGAATTCCCTCTCCTATTTCCTTATTCAGAAAAGACTTTCCGTTGAGTCATTTGCCGCTCTCTGTTGCATCGTTCTCTTGAGTTTTATATGTAACAGATGTAAGATAACGTCTAGTATTCGATCTTATCTGGCAAACACTGGACGCGGAACAACCATTGCATTATGGTAATGGCTCTGCCATATAAAAGCGCATTCTACGATGTTTGCCTTTTCATACAAAAGAACTGAGAAAATGAAGTCACATCAAGTGCGGATGTTTTACCACGGTGAGATTGGAGAAGGATTTGCCCCCAGATTGCCCAGGATATCGCTAACACTCTGTCTCCTCGAATAGTGTGTTCGTTGTGGACATTGCTATGTCTGATGCCGTGGCCATTGCTGGCTGCCATGAGTAGCGATTCCAGCAACTGTATGGAGGGCTCGGTGGAAGCCGACCCGCAGGACTGTGCGAGCTACTTTCAGTGCCTTGACACGGTCATCCTCCATCAGCAGTGCCCCGAAGGAGCCTACTACGAGGCCAGTTATCAGGTGTGCGTCATCGACGACAAGGGCATCTGTTCGCCCGCATCCAATAAGTGCATCGAGGGAGAGCTGGCAGAGGATCCCGCGGATTGTGCAGGATATCTGCAGTGCATCGATGGCGACTTTGTGAAGCAGAATTGTGCGCCTGGAAGCTACTTTAATCTGATATCGAAAATCTGTCTCGTGGATGGCAATGTGTCGTGTTCTCCTCTGCAGGAGAGGTGCAACGATGGAGAGCTCAGTGCGGACCCCGAAGATTGTGCTCGGTACCTTCAATGCGTGAATGGCGTTCTCGTGAAGGAGAAGTGCAACAAAGGAAGCTATTTCGATGTGAATTTCAACATGTGTGTTGTAGATGTGGACGGAGTCTGTGTTTCCTCCGAGAATTGTACCGAAGGAGAGCTTCAATCAGACCCGAATGATTGTGCCGGATACTTAAAGTGCATCGATGGGTACCTCGAGGAACAACAGTGCTCCAGCGGAAGCTACTTTAATTCCAGCCTCAAGATCTGTCTTGTTGATGTGAATGGCATTTGTGTAGCGCCTCCCGCAAACTGCACAGAAGGAGAGTTGGATGTGGACCCCAACGACTGCGCCGGATACCTAAAGTGCATCAATGGCCAGTTCGTGGAAGAGCAGTGCCCCAGTGGCAGCTACTTTGATGCCAAAATGGAGTTTTGCCTGATCGACGTGGACGGAATCTGTCTGCCAACTGTGAGAAAGTGCACCGAGGGATATATGGAAGAAGATCCCGAAGATTGCGCCGGATACCGGCAGTGTATAAACCAGGAGCTCGTGCAACTGAAGTGTGATCCTGGCAGCTACTTTAATGCCACAGAAAGCGGCTGCCTGATCGACGAGGATGGAGTATGTGTGTCCCTGGTGGAAAGATGCTCAGAGGGCGAACTGATGCAGGACGCCGCAAACTGTGGGGGATTCTTGATCTGTGTCGATGGGCTTTTTGTGGCCAAGAACTGTGGCAGCGGAGAATACTTCCATCCAGGTGTCCAGGAATGCTTAGAAGATGACCGAAACATTTGCCATAGCAAGTGCCGGTGTGTGTCAAGTGTCAAGGGCAGATGCGTTGAGGGCAAACGGGTGGCGGATCCCCAGGACTGTGGGGCCTATCTGGAATGCATCGACGGGCAGCTCGTGGAACAGATATGTGCTCGTGGCACTTACTTCGAGACCACAATGGGGGGCTGTGCTATCGACGAGAAACACTTCTGCGTGGATGGGGAGCGGAAGGAGGAGTGAGAATGAGAGCCCTAATGCACAATAAATTATCTCGATTTGCCGACTTCCCCGCCGATAATAAGCTCTGCTGTAATAAATCTAATTAATTGGGAAGTTGATGATTGAGCTAGTACCATTTGGTGGCTGGGACTTTTGGCAAAGTTTTTATTGCCTGTCGATGAGAAGGCAGCAGTGACTTTTCTGCTGCTAATATGATAACACAACAAATGTCTGTTGCTGCCTCTTAATCAGCAGCTCTTTTAAAAAGATTATGCCAAAATATACGTGGTGTTTTTGGAAATGTACGAGTGCTAGACCACTCGATAAGTAGCCGCAGCAATCAGATTTGACTCAACCCGGAATGTGGGTGTGCGTCACGGCAGCACCGTGTTGCCTTCCTTTGTGACTGGCCCAAACTTCAAAAGATGTCGTATTCGTAATTAAAATCGGGATGAATCCCCATTAAGGGTATGGGCGTGTCGTTAGTGCTGTGGTTTGTCCGCCTGAAAGGACCTTTCCTACAATTAATTGAAAGGTATCGGAGAAATGCGATATTGCTTTGAATTTATTAGTTAATGAAACACGCCCTCGGTTCTGGGCATTTGGTTAAGAAAGGTCTATTTTTTGTTAACTTTAACGTTTATCAGGAACAAGTTGAAAATGTAGATGTTCTTGGTGCTGCCCGGGACATCATTGTCTTCGGGGGCATCGGTTGATGGTCGCTCTCCAGGGGCATCGGTTATTGGGGTGTTGGGGTCTTCTGGAGCTTCGGTTGTTGTGGTAGGATCTTCTGGGGTAGCGGCTGTGGTTGTATCATCTCCTCCATCCTCCGGGGCAGCTGTGGTGGAATCTTCCTCTGGGGCATCAGTGGTGGAATCTTCTTCAGGTGAGGCAGTGGTGGAGTCATCACCTCCATCTTCTGGAGCTGCGGTGGTAGAATCATCTTCTGGGGCAGAAGTGGTGGAATCTTCTTCAGGTGCATCAGTGGTGGAATCTTCTTCGGGTGAGGCAGTGGTCGAGTCATCACCTCCATCTTCTGGATCTGCAGTGGTAGAATCATCTTCTGGGGCAGAAGTGGTGGAATCTTCTTCAGGTGCATCAGTGGTGGAATCTTCTTCAGGTGAGGCAGTGGTCGAGTCATCACCTCCATCTTCTGGATCTGCGGTGGTAGAATCATCTTCTCCATCTTCTGGGGCAGAAGTGGTGGAATCTTCTTCTGGGGCAGAAGTGGTGGAATCTTCTTCAGGTGCATCAGTGGTGGAATCTTCTTCAGGTGAGGCAGTGGTGGAGTCATCACCTCCATCCTCAGGAGCTGCGGTGGTAGAATCATCTTCTCCATCTTCTGGGGCAGAAGTGGTGGAATCTTCTTCAGGTGCATCAGTGGTGGAATCTTCCTCAGGTGAAGCAGTGGTCGAGTCATCACCTCCATCTTCTGGAGCTGCGGTGGTAGAATCATCTTCTCCATCTTCTGGGGCAGAAGTGGTAGAATCATCGCCTCCATCCTCTGGGGCAGCAGTTGTGGAGTCATCTTCCCCATCTTCAGGCTCAGCTGTGGTAGAGTCATTATCTTCTCCATCCTCAGGAGCTCCGGTGGTAGAATCATCACCTCCATCTTCAGGAGCTGCGGTGGTAGAATCATCGCCTCCATCTTCTGGGGCAGCAGTTGTAGAGTCATCACCTCCATCTTCAGGTGCAGCTGTGGTAGAATCATCTTCGCCACCAGGTGCTGGAGTGGTGGAACCTTCTTCAGGTGCAGCAGTGGTCGAATCATCTTCTCCATCGGCGGTTGTGGCATCATCAGCGGCAGTTGTAGGGGTGTCAGGAGCCACAGTTGTGGAGCCTTCCGAGTCGTCAAGCAGCTCGCCCAGACCGAAGGGGGACTGCTTGTTCACTGGGACATAGAAGATGCCCTCGGCCACGTAAATGTTCACTGTGGCACCCATCAGCACGGAGCTGTACTTGTCGCCGCAGGCTTTCTTGTTGGCCTCCTTGTACGAGTCGCACCGCTGGGTGGGGAAGTTGTTAAACCGCAGGGACTCGACGTAGTAGGTGACGGCGCGGGTGTGGGCACAGCTTCCGGTTATGTCAATGCCGCAGCCGGGCTGGGACTTTCCGCCGTTGACGTAGAAGGCAGCCTTGCCGATGGGCTTGGTGAATCCCATGGTGCCGCCGGCGGTATGGATGGACTCCACGTAACGGGCATCATCGCTGGCGAGACGTTTGGCGGTGTTGCTGTAGCTGATCAGCGGCATGGCAGGGTCGAGACCGACAACCTTGCCGACCTCTCCGGAGGCGACCTGCTTGGCGGTGTGACCGGCTACGTGGGCGCCCAGACTGAAGCCCACCACCTCGAGGGTGTCCAGGGACATGCCATATTCCTTCACCAGGAAATCGACCAGAGCAGCGATCTTTTTGCCGGCTCCGGAGGCAGCGGCAACGGAAGAAGCGTACTCCAGGGAGCGACCGCGAACCCAATCGACGGCAATCATGTTATAGTCTCCAGACAGGAACCAGGCGGCGGCAATCTTCGTGTTTACACCATCCTTATAGTTTGAGTTCCAACCGTGAATGGTGATCCTGAAAAGCGATCATTGTTCCGGATTAGCTCTGATTATCGGATCTAAAGGAACAGCCTACCTCGTGGGGTTCTCGGGATTGAAGTTGGATGCATCAATGGAGGCACGGTTCGCCTTGATCTGTTGCCCCGCGTTGGTGTTCCGCAGCGTATATAGATAGAAATTGACCGTGTTCGTGGACAGGCGACCCATGATCGTTTCCTGGGCCTCGTAGTGGGCCAAATCTCGCTCGCCCTCTGCTCTGCTCACCCACCGGAGGGCACCGTCCTTCTGGGGCACATACCAGCCATTGCCGCCGCTCACGCGCAATGACAGATCCTCAATGGGCCAGGCACTCACTAAAAATGATTCGAATTCAATGCCAGTTCAATGCCACGAATGTCCCGAATGTAGTTCAATGTCTCACCTGCTATCACGCAGACTAGTAGAAGAAAGCACAGTCTCATTGTTCGCATGGAAAATTTGAATGATTCGGCAGCAACACCTGTCGCACCCATTTATACCTTCTGTCTGCGTTAATCTATACGCAATCGAAATCTCAGCAACAACAATGCACCGATTAGATCGTTTCTAATCGGGTAGATTTAAATACCCTACAGAGAAAGCTCCCCATACAGAGCTTTCGAGTTACAAGAGTACCCTTATCAACGACTGTTCGATAGCTTTCAGTGACGATCATTAAGCGATCAGAGCTTTTGCTTAGTTTATTTGTGATTGTGAATTGATTTAGTTGCCCATGCCATAGGGAGCATCGCTGCGAACGGGGACATAGTAGTCGCCGGACACCATGTAGGCATTGACCACAGCACCCATCTTCACGGAGCTGTAGGAGCTTCCACAGCTGCTGGACACAGCGGACTCGTAGTTGCCGCAGCGCATGGTGGGGAAGTTGTCCTGGGTGACGGCCTCCGCGTAGTAGATCACGGAGCGGCTGTGGGCACAAGAGCCGGTGAGGTCAAGGCCGCAGCCGGGCTGCGACTTGCCGCCGTTCGGGTAGAACGCGCCCTTGCCGATGGGCTTCAGGAAGCCGAGGTTTCCGCCGTTGGTCTGGATAGACTCCACATACCAGGCATCGGTGGAGCTGAGACGCTTGTTGGGCGAGTCGTAGCTGAAGAGGGGCAGGGCAGGATCCAGACCAATGATGGTGTGCAGTTGACCGTTCTTCACGTTCTTGCCGGCATAGCCGGACACATGGGCGCCCAGGCTGTGGCCAATGACCATGGTGTTGTCAAGGTTGAGGCCGTGGTTGTTGCGCATGAAGTTGATCAGAGTCGCCACCTGCTCGCCGACTCCGGGAACGGCCAGCACGGATGAAGCATAATCGACGGAGCGGGCACGGCCCCAGTCGACGGCGATCATGTTCATGTCACCGTGCGAGAACCAGGCATCGCGGACACCGTAGTTGATGAACTCGTCGGCGCTGGAGGACCAGCCGTGGATGGTGAAACGAGTGGGGTTGTTGGGGTTGAAGTACGACGAAGAGATCACCGACGATGAGGCCTTGATCTCCTGGGCCCAGCCGCGGTTCGATTGGGTGTACAGGTAGAAGGTCACCGGGTTGAGGACGTTACGTGCCTCCTTCTCGGCATGGGCCTCTAGATAGGCCTCGGCCACATCCCTGTCCATCCATTCAAAGCTGCCATCGGCCTGGGGCACATACCATCCATTCTCTCCATTCTCGCGCACCTCAACGGCGTTAACTGTAAGGGGGAAAGCGGCGGGTTATTGGATGGCTTCTTGGATCTCGAAAGTCAAATGACTTCTTACCAGCCACTAGGCAGAAAGCCAAAGCCAAAAGCAGTCTCATGATCATGGCGAAGACACGTTCAACTGACGATCCGTGCTGACAAAGGCGTTCCCTTTATATGGATCAGAATCGCGCCAGATCGAATCTCAGACACTTTGAAGCGCAGCACTCGAGATATGGACACTGGATGGCCACTCACGCCATTCAAGACATCCCCGATAAGGGTCGCAAACCGCAATCGATTGGCGGCGTACTGAGGAGCGGAACATGTGTTTTTGGCAATTTGCACTAAGTAGAATGTCCATCTTGATTGCATTTATCTCAATTGCTTTATTTCTGCCCGTGTACGCCCAAGTAGTTCACGTTCCTGATATGGTTACGTCGTTACAAATGACGCGAGCTTCGCCACCATCGAAGAGGGATTATCACAGCAACTACACTCCGTCGTAGTCAATCGAATGTGTTATCAATCCGTCCAGCTACTTGTTGTGAAATCATTATTAGATATCTGCCAATAATCGTAATAGTATAAATAGACAAAAATGATTTCACTTATGGTCAATCGCCACACGTCCCCACTTGGTTTTATCTACATCCTTATAACCACAGTTATCAAGTAACTTGAACTCAAAAGTTATCTATTAAAAACAACGCTTTCCCATTCACCCAAACAAAGCTCTTTGCAAATGCGATTCAGATTTGATTCAGTAGGATTGGAGGATTGTTGAGGCCTGCCCCCAATCTCTGACGTACGGAAAAGATAGTTGGGGCGCTGGCAGCGCTTAGAACCCCCACAGCTCCGTATCATGATTAAGATAATAGTGGTACACATAGACTTCTGAATTTCTGTTCTTTATTTTATTCACTCAATGAATAGGCACATTCCTATTGTCATTCCTATTCAATCTTGCCGAAGGGCTCCTTGCTGTTCACGGGCACATAGAAGTCACCCTCGACCATGTAGGCGTTGTGTACGGCACCCATGCGGACGCTGCTGTAGGTGCTGCCGCACTCCTTGGAGACAGCTGCCTCGTAATCGTGGCACCTAATAGTTCCGAAGTTGTCCTCAGTGACGGCCTCGGCGTAATACAGGACGGAACGGCCGTGAGAGCAGGAGCCGGTGACATCCAACCCACATCCTGGCTGCGTCTTGCCGCCGTTGGGGTAGAAGGCTCCCTTGCCGATGGGTTTCAGGAATCCTAGTTTGCCGCCGTTTGTCTGGATGGACTCCACATAGAAGGCATCATCGCTAGAGAGACGCTTGTCGGGCTTATCGTAGCTGAAGAGGGGAAGAGCAGGGTCCAGACCGACAATGGAGTGGATACGACCCTTGCCAACGGTCTTGCCGGCATAACCAGAGACATGGGCTCCCAGACTGTGGCCGATGACCTCCAGGCTGTCCAGTGACATGCCGTGATGCTCGTGCAGGTAATTGATCATCTCGCCGACCTTTGCACCGGCTCCAGGAACAGCAACCACAGAGGAAGCGTAGTCAACCGAACGAGCACGTGCCCAGTCCACAACAATCACGTTGTAATCTCCTTTAGACAGCCACGACTTGGTTATGCGGGTGTTCATGTCATCGGTGTAGCGTCCAGTCCATCCATGGATGACAAAGCGGGTGCCGTGGTCCTTGTTGAAGTGGGAGGCATCAACGGACGAGGCCTTAGCCTTGATTTCTTTGCCATCAGTGGGATTGGACTTGGTGTAGAGGTAGAAAGACACGGCATTGGTGCTGATGCGGCCGTCCATTGCCTCGCCGTTGGCCAGCAGCTCCTCGGCATCCTTCAGTTCCATCCACTCGAAGCTGCCATCAGCCTGGGGAACGTACCAGCCATTCTCTCCGTTGATGCGCTCCTCAATGGGCAGGGCACTTGCTGGAAATATCGTCTCGTTATGGGCACTGTTCTTTCATCCTGTTATTTTGTATAGAACCCACCTGCTGCCAGTATAGCGGCGAGAACAAATAATACTTTCATTTTGTAATCTGACCAAATTGTGGTGTAGAGCGGCAGGAGCCTCTGTCATTTTATAGGTCCAAGCTAATCACTTTTTAATAATCGAACGAATAATATATGGGAAAGCACTTGAGAAATCTCATTTTGAAACGATCAGATAATGGTGAGATACTAAGATTAGAACTTTAGTTGATAGCAACTCATTTCCCCAGCTTAACTGATAAGTAAAGATGTCAATGTAAATTATTGTATTTAGAACTTTGACGCTGGTACAGGTATATGTCGTAAAAGGGTTCAGAGGTCCCCATTTTGATCTGTCGCTGGGTATTTGGATTCTTTTTTGTGGCTTTATTAAAACATTAATAATGATTCGAGAATAATTATAGGAAAATTGACTTAAGTGTTTACTGCAATCGGAAGAGCTTTTGGAATAATTGTTGTATTACAACGAATGTCTTCAAATTTTTGGAAAGTAGCTTTTGAACAAATTTCATTCATTTATTTTATTTCGGATGGTACTTAATTCATTTATTTCAGTTTCCTATAATAGCTAGAAATCAAGTAGTTATGACGAAACTGTACCTATCAATAACAAAGATGATTTAGTCGTATCTTTATATATTTCCTTATATATATGTACATACATATTTCCTAGACCCAACACTTTATGTGTTTTCAGATATAAAACAAAGATATGTACTTTGGTTTGAACAACTTTTTATCAATTTATTGAGTTAAAGTGGGTGAGCACAGGTGTCTCTATTCGATCACATCGAATGGAGCCTTGCTGTTGCTGTTGTTGTTTTGATGGAGCACAGATCTCTATTCGATCTTACCGAATGGAGCCTTGCTGTTCACGGGGACGTAGTAGTCACCATCAACCATGTAGGCATTGGTGACGGCACCCATGCGGACGCTGCTGTAGGTGCTGCCGCACTTCTTGGAGACGGCATCCTCGTAGTCGTGGCACTTAATGGTTCCGAAATTGTCTTCAGTGACGGCCTCGGCGTAATACAGGACGGAACGGCCGTGGGAGCAGGAGCCAGTGACATCCACACCACATCCTGGCTGCTTCTTTCCACCGTTGGGGTAGAAGGCACCCTTGCCGATGGGCTTCAGGAATCCCAGTTTGCCGCCGTTGGTTTGGATGGACTCCACATAGTGGGCATCATCGCTAGAGAGACGCTTGTCGGGCTTATCGTAGCTAAAGAGGGGAAGAGCAGGGTCCAGACCAACAATGGAATGGATACGACCCTCGCCAACGGTCTTGCCGGCATAACCAGAAACCTGGGCTCCCAGACTGTGGCCGATGACCTCCAGGCTGTCTAGAGACATGCCGTGATGCTCGTGCAGGTACTTGATCATCTCTCCAACCTTTGCACCGGCTCCGGAAACAGCAAGCACAGAGGAGGCGTAGTCAACGGAACGGGCACGGGCCCAGTCCACAACAATCACGTTGTAGTCACCGCGGGACAACCAGGCCTTGGTGATGCGGGTGTTCATGTCATCCTGGGCGCTTTGGGTCCAGCCGTGGATGACGAAACGGGTGCCGTGGTCCTTGTTGAAGTGGGATCCATCGATGGAGGATGCATCGGACTTGATTTCCTTACCATCAGTGGGATTGGACCTGGTATAGAGGTAGAACTTAACAGCATTCGTGCTGATGCGGCCTTCCATTTGCTCTCCTCTGGAAAGCAGCTCCTCGGCGTCCTTCAGGTCCATCCACTCGAAGGTGCCATCGATTTTGGGAATGAACCAGCCATTCTCGCCGTTGATGCGCTCCTCAACGGGAAGGGCAGTCACTGCAAATGTTTTTATTAACGGGAGTGTCCCTTTAGTGGAATATTTGGAGAGAACTCACCTGCTGCCAACACGGCTGCTAGAACAAATAACACTTTCATGGTGGGGGCTAAACCAATTGTGGTGTTCAGTGGCTATTCCTAGCCTTTTATACACCCCCAACTAATCGCCTTTTAATACAAGTAAGCACTTAAGAACATTTTTTGTCCAATGATCAGATAGTGGCGTTACCCGGATTAAAATTATCATTGATAACAGTTCATGTCCACAGCTTGTTTGATAACCAGAAAAATCAAAGAAATCTTTTCTACGTGAGTTGTAGCTTGGACACTCAGGTCTTTGACAATCTTTTGGGGTACCCCATTTGAATACCCTTTACTTGTACAGGTGTAGACCATAGCGAGTAGGACAAGAAAGGAAGTTTAGCTTGAAGGGTCCAACCTTTTGATATCTTAGCAGATTCGCACATGTATTACAAAAATAATTTCATTTTGACTTGCTTCCACAACACTAATTCTCCGTCGGTGGGTTGGACGGGAGAAAGGCTTGCACTCCTGCCTGGGATCCGCGCGTAACAGCCTTCTGCTGGTGTCGCATGGGACACTTGATGGTGAAGTAATTGCATATCAACGTCCAAATATAATTTATTCAATTTGGATAAACAAGAGATCTGCGAATACCACAAAAAGCGCCTTTGGGAAAACATAGCCCAATCAAAACATTCTTATAAGAGTACATTTTCAGATAAGTAAAAACAAAGATACTTGGGCTCAGAACTTTTTATTTGTTGGGTTCCTGTTATGGAGCACATGTCTCTATCCAATCTTACCGAATGGAGAATCGCTGTTAACGGGGACGTAGTAGTCACCATCAACCATGTAGGCATTGGTGACGGCACCCATGCGAACGCTGCTGTAGGTGCTGCCGCACTCCTTGGCGACGGCTGCCTCGTAGTCGCCACACTTGATGGTTCCGAAATTATCCTCAGTGACGGCCTCGGCGTAATACAGGACGGAACGGCCGTGGGAGCAGGAGCCAGTGACATCCAACCCACATCCTGGCTGCGTCTGGCCGCCGTTGGGGTAGAAGGCACCCTTGCCGATGGGTTTCAGGAATCCCAGCTTGCCGCCGTTGGTCTGGATGGACTCCACATAGTGGGCATCACTTGTCGAGAGACGCTTGTCGGGTTTATCGTAGCTGAAGAGGGGAAGAGCAGGGTCCAGACCAACAATGGAATGGATACGACCCTCGCCAACGGTCTTGCCGGCATAACCAGAAACCTGGGCTCCCAGACTGTGGCCGATGACCTCCAGGCTGTCCAGAGACATGCCGTGATGCTCGTGCAGGTACTTGATCATCTCTCCAACCTTTGCACCGGCTCCGGGAACAGCAAGCACAGAGGAGGCGTAGTCAACGGAACGGGCACGGGCCCAGTCCACAACAATCACGTTGTAGTCACCGCGGGACAACCAGGCCTTGGTAATGCGGGTGTTCATTTCGTCCTGGGCGCTTTGGGTCCAGCCGTGGATGACGAAACGGGTGCCATGGTCTTTATTGAAGTGGGATCCATCAATGGAGGATGCATCGGACGTGATTTCCTGGGCAGAAGTGGGGTTGGACTTGGTGTAGAGGTAGAATTTGACAGCGTTCGTGCTAATGCGGCCCTCCATTTGCTCGCCGCTGAAAAGCAGCTCCTCGGCATCTCTGAGATCCATCCACTCAAAGCTGCCATCGAGCTTCGGAATGAACCAGCCATTCTCGCCATTGACGCGTTCCTCAATGGGCAGGGCAGTCACTGCAAGTACTTGTATTAGCCGGAATGTCCTTTTAGTGGATTATTTGTGGAGAACTCACCTGCTGCCAACAAGGCTGATAGAACAAATAACACTTTCATAATGCGGTCTTACCAATTGTGGTGTCCAGTGCCAGGCACTCCTGCGTTTTATAGACCCCCAACTAATCGCCATTTAATAGAAATAAACATCTTAGAGCTATATTTGGACAAACTTTTTGATTGTGGAGTTACCCACAGCGAGGTAGATAAGATGGTATATCTTTGGGAATATCCCGTACTTGTAAAATAAAGACCATAACAGTGGTACAAAAATGGAATTTTAACTTCAAGTGTCGAAGTTTCTGATACCTTAAGAGTTCGATCGTACTCATAGCGGCTTGAAATGGGAAGCAATCATTTATTTTTTTTCGAATTATTTTCAAGTAGGGAATATTGTTTTCCAACATCGTTTCTTAACCGTTTATTATTACAGAAATATTTACCAAAAATTAGTTATTATTCAACGCATAATATCCATTTATTTTCCACTGGCAATTCTGCCAGCAATTTATAAAACAGATATATCTTCAGCGAACTGAATCATCTTTAGGGATACATGTGTGTGTCGCAGTTTCACATATGTATATTTGATCGGTGAATGCGTAATATAATGTTAATACAGCTGAAAAGGATCTGTGCCAAATATTTAGCGACAATTTCAGGGCTTGCGCTTAAACAAAACTGTTACAGATTAGAAGAAAATGAATAAAAAAATAATTTTTTCATCAAAAAGATATCAAAATTGATTTTGACAAGAGAGACCGTACTTCACATTCGAGAAAATCCTGAGCAAATTATACAGACTGACATCTTTTCCAAAGGCATACAATAAATTTCGCTATAATTGAAAAGTCTATAAATTCATATAGAATTCCCTTCTTTGGATAACTGGCAAATCTTTTAAATAGATACTCGTAACCATATGGATAAGCCCCCATAAGTATACAGCAGAACCAGTCTTTGATAGAGCCATACTACAATAAAACATCTACTGAACAATGCTTGTTAAATCAGCTAGGAAATCAACGTGAAGTGCCGGAGTGAAGTCATAAATTTCCACAAACTCTCGATGACGAGGACTAGTTTACGATCTCAATCAGCGTAAACGATGGCTATCTTAATAGGTGGTTGGACGACCACAAGGTTTATGGCTTGATTGGTCTGATAGAGAATTTCATTGAAGAACTGTCAAGGCAATTCCTGAACCATTTCCTGAGTGATATTTCAGAAATCGTTTGGGTCAGATTGATTTTAGGTTGTATTCATGTTTATTTAGTGAATCATGCCGAAGGGGGCCTTGCTGTTTACGGGCACATAGAAGTCACCGGCAACCATGTAGGCATTGGTGTCGGCTCCCATGCGGACGCTGCTGTAGGTGCTGCCGCAATCCTTGGCGACGGCTGCCTCGTAGTCGTGGCACTTGATGGTTCCAAAGTTGTCCTCTCTGACGGCCTCGGCGTAATAGGTAGTGGAGCGGCCGTGGGAGCAGGCGCCAGTGACGTCCAGGGGGCAGCCGGGCTGGGTCTTGCCGCCATTAGGGTAGAAAGCACCCTTGCCGATGGGCTTCAGGAAGCCGAGAGTACCACCGTTGGTCTGGATGGACTCCACATAGTGGGCATCATCGCTAGAGAGACGCTTGTTGGGCTTGTTGTAGCTGAAGAGGGGAAGTGCGGGGTCCAGACCGATGATGGTGTGCACCTGGCCGTCGGTGTTCTTACCGGCATAGCCAGCAACATGGGCGCCCAGACTGTGGCCAATGACGTACAGGGAGTCCAGGGACATGCCATGGTCGGAGTGCAAGAAGTTGATCATTTTGGCTACCTTCTTTCCGGTGGCGGCGACGGCCATGACGGAAGTGGCGTAGTCAACGGAACGGGCGCGAGCCCAGTCAACGACGATCACGTTGTAGTCTCCGTGGCTCAACCAGGCGGCGCGGATGTCCTTGTTCATGCTAGCGGTGTAGCTCTGGGTCCAGCCGTGGATGACGAAGCGAGTGGGGTGGGCAGCGTTGAAGTGGGAGGCATCAATAGACTTTGTGCTGGCGGTGATCTTCTTGCCCTTGGTGGGGTTTGAAGAAGTGTACAGGTAGAACTTGACGGGCACGGTGGTCAGGCCGCGAGACTCCAAGAGTTCCTGCTGCTCCATCCACTCCTCAGCGACGTCCATGTCCACCCACTCGAAGGTGCCGTCCAGCTGGGGAACGTACCAGCCGTTCTCGCCATTGACGCGGTCAGCTTCCTCCAAAGCATAGGCCGAAGCTATCAGACATAATGATAATTCGTTAGTTAAGGAATGTTTAGGGGTATGATTCTAAAGGCTCACCGGCCAGAGCACAGAACGCCAACAGAATAATGGTCTTCATGTTGTTGTATAAACGACAACTGATTGCTGAATAGGTCGACACCTTGCTCTTTTATAGGGCAAACCGGTGGCTACTTATCTGCTCGAGATTAGGCGCGCCTGGTGGTGGACCTTACTATAATATACATACGTATAACCATCTGATAGCACCCCCTCTGCAAGGGTTTTTTTTGGAATCCGAATCAGATGGCATATTTATCTGTTGATTGACTTTCAATCGACTTTTCAATTGCCTTTCATTCCGTCGTGATTCGCGAATATTATTATTGTGCTGTGCTGGGGTCTGTCAAGTGTCTAGCCAGAATGGCCCCATGGTAATTCGGGTTTATTTTGGGATCAATGGGACCTAGTCGCGTCAAAAGTACGAGTACCTTAGTGGCCCCCCCCCCGAGTCGCACAAAGAATGGACGTAACCAGCAGTTTTGCCTATCTGTCGGCAGCTATCAATTACACTGGGAGGCCCTCTACCACCCATAGAACCACTGACCGCTGTCCAACGTAATCTCATGTAAGCCACGACAAGTGGGTTTAATTGTTTATGCCATTAAATGGGCATTTAATTTAACACTTCATTGCTTTTGAGGTGCCTCGGCTTGCCGTATCTCGCTGCGGAATCTACTCGTATCTACGGTGAGGAAAGCCCTTCCAGTCGATGTTTCCTGTAACAATAGTTCTGTTCGGTACATTTAACCTGGCACCTGGGCATTAATTGATTTCTCACTTGTTTTTAACTTGGAGTATCACGTTAATTGGGGTGCTTGAAAATAAATTACATCACTTCTGTTCGTCGGAAAAAACGGCTGCATACTTTCAGGCACCGTTTGATGGACTCTTGTGCTGCTCCACAGCAAGATAATTCAATTAATAACGCAAATATGACCACGAAAAGGGAGAGAAACCACAACCAAAAGTCCCAGCCCTTATTTTATTTGCCCGGAGTTGCCTTTGTGGACACAGGACCACATAAGCAGAGGACCGCAGAACCACAAGCCCCCCGAGGAGTTGGGTGGCATCGAAGTCGATGACAGATTCAATGAACATTTCAAATTAATCGCATTTTGAAAAGTGTCGCATTTCATGTGGCACGTGCCCGGGGACTGATAAACATTCGGCTGCGTTTGATTAAGCAAATTAAATGGCAACACGGGCCAATTTGCATATCCAATTTGCCCCACGGGAGCGCATTCACTTTGCCGGCATTTGCGGGGGGATTATGTCATCGTGAGTGGGCCACAGATCAGAGAAACATTTGGGGAGCTAGCGATAGCTGGAAATCGCATTTGGCCACTGGCTTTGGGCGGACGGACCTCAAGCCACAAATCCACAAATCAAGGGTCGACACAGGCATAATAGGGTTTTGGGATCTTGGCCCACAATAAAATTCAATTTCATCCTGGGGCCGGAAAAAACAATAAATTCCGGTGCCCATAAATAAGCATTTGAGGCAAATAAATATTGTTGTTCTTTTGTGTGGCGAATTCAAAATGCTCTCTCGGGGTGAAGGTTAACCATGACATGAATATAATTCCCTTATCTTTCGAGGTGCTCCAGGCGCGCCACATATAGTCCATCAGATGATTAACTATCTGAAGTTGAGCCGTGCGACCGCAATCATCCTCAATCTTCATCCTCACATAGTAAGCTGCACATACTTTTACGGAAATTTGCACTTGGCATACTTCTAGCCATCTATCGACATGGGCTAATTGGGGCACAAGGACTGCCTGCCAGGCAGACGTCTCCGTATTTAAATAAGAGACAGAGACAGAGGCAGGAGCAGACAGAGCTAACCACTTGCCACACAAGCTTCATCCCTCCCTCTTTTCTGGCGTGGTGGCAGGCAACTACAATGTAGATGTTGTGGCTGTTGACTTTGCCCCGAGCAAAATTCCGCCTGATGGCTGCTCATTAATTATAATTACAAACATGCCGCAAAAAGTGGCAAAACGCTTCTGACGACATTGCTAAAGATAAATGCGGTTTTTGGGGTTGAGGCTAAATCAGTCATGACTGAAGACCGACATAGACAAGCGCAAGCACACCGAGAAAAAGAGGAACGAGTTCAGCAAATGTATTTTCATTCCTGGTCTTGGCTGAGCAAATGCTGAGATGCGAAATTCCACAAGTATTTCCTGCCCCTTAAGGACGCAGCTTTGTTCACCATTTCCCGGCTTTTTAGTAGCAGCTGGATACTAACCTTTTTCCACTGCAGTGCCATTGAGCCTATGTAAATGCATTTGGACGCGCCACGCTTTGTGGCAACTTAAGATATACTTTTCCATCCCGAAAGGCTACCTGCTGTGTGGGGTTTTTAGAAGGCATTTTCGCCCACAAATTGGGCAATGAAAAGATGTTCAAAAAGCTTGGTGAAAAGTCCTAGGCTTTCACTTAAATTTTGTACCTTTCTCGCATCACCTTTTCCATTTCGCTTTGCCTCTAGTAGCTGGAAATTTAATTTATGGAACACCATTAAGGTCTTAGGTATAATATTCGCCTTAAAATACGACTTGAATAGATATTCACCCCACACAAAGTTTAAACGCGATTCTCGGAGCGATTTTCCCGAATGGAGTGAGATTTTTCAGTTTGCTTTAGATTTTTGTTTTATTGTTCGTTTAGTTAATCATGCCGTAGGGGGAATTGCTGTTCACGGGCACATAGAAGTCACCGGCAACCATGTAGGCATTGGTGTCGGCTCCCATGCGGACGCCGCTGTAGGTGCTGCCGCACTGGTCGTTGACAGCGGCCTGGTAGTCGCCGCACTTGATCGTTCCGAAGTTGTCCTGGCTGACGGCCTCGGCGTAATAGGTGGTGGAGCGGCCGTGGGAGCAGGCGCCAGTGACGTCCAGGAAGCAGCCGGGCTGGGTCTTGCCGCCATTGGGGTAGAAAGCACCCTTACCGATGGGCTTCAGGAAGCCGAGGTTGCCGCCGTTGGTCTGGATGGACTCCACATACCAGGCGTCGGTGGAGCTGAGACGCTTGTTGGGCGAGTTGTAGCTGAAGAGGGGAAGTGCGGGGTCCAGGCCGATGATGGCGTAGATCTGGCCATTGGTGTTCTTGCCGGCGTAGCCGGAGACGTGAGCTCCGAGACTGTGACCGATGACATAGAGGTTGTCCAGGGACATGCCGAAGTCGGAGTTCAGGAAGTTGATCATGTTGGCGACCTTCTTTCCGGTGGCGGCGACGGCCATCACGGAGGTGGCGTAGTCAATGGAACGGGCGCGAGCCCAGTCAACGACGATCACGTTGTAGTCTCCCTGGCTCAACCAGGCGTTGCGGATGGCCTTGTTCATGCCAGCGGTATAGCTCTGAGTCCAGCCGTGGATAACGAAGCGGGTGGGGTTGCCGGAGTTGAAGTTGGAGTTATTGATGGAATTGTAATTGGCTTTAATCTTCTGGCCCTTGGTGGGGTTTGAGGAAGTGTACAGGTAGAATGTGACGGGCACGGTGGTCAGGCCGCGAGACTCCAAGAGTTCCTGCTTCTCCATCCAATCCTCCGCAACATCCTTGTCCACCCACTCGAAGGTGCCGTCCTGCTGGGGAACGTACCAGCCGTTCTCGCCATTGACGCGGTCAGCCTCGTCCAAGGCGTATGCCGAAGCTGTCAGATATAATTGTAGTCCGCTATATAAACCATTATCAGAAGTATGATTACAAGGACTTACCGGCAAGCGCGCAGAGTGCCAAAAGAATAAATGTCTTCATGTTGTTCTACAATCTACACCTGATTGCTGAATAGGTCGGTGCCGCTGTCTTTTATAGGCCGAATCGGGCCACTTATCGTCAACAGATTAGACTCGCTTGGAGGTGGACAAACTACTTAGAATACAACCATCTGATAGCACCCCCAGTTCAAGTGGTTTTTGCGGTTTTGATGGAATGCCGAATCAGATAGGATATTTATATCTGGACTGTCGCTCCTCTATTGCGTTCCATAATCAAATGCTCCAGCTTTTCACGAAGGTCTGTGAAAAGTCCAAAGCTTTTTCTTAAGTATTTTGTACCTTTTTGGCAGTGCCTTTTTTTGCTTTTCCCCCTGTGGCTCTTCAGAAAATTGAATTTATGAAATAGCATTTAGGATTTTTCCAGCCAGCTTTTTTTTCGTTGGAAGCCTTTGTTGTGGGCTGCTGTTTTTCCACCGAACATAATTTTCAGTCTGAGAGCCGGCTAAACAGAATTACGCGCCAACTAAGCCCAAAAAATCTGATTTGCTTTTCATTCCATTCCCACCCTCCGCATTGGCTGTGCTTTGTCTGGAAATCTACGATATTATTAGGCTTCCTGTGCTCCACACATATACTCCTATTTGTGTACGTGATGCCCGTCAATATTTTGCATTTTATTTCCATGTTCCTTCGGCTGCCTGCGGGCCCTGCTTCCTCCTTTCATTTCGATCTGGTGCCTGCTTTTCTCAATATTTTGTTGTATTTTATTGGCTGAAGCCATTAAAATATTCAACGACGAGCGAGAGGCTCACGCCAGCATGTAATTATTTTGCGTGCTTTTGGCATTCATGGCACACTTTTCCATGTCTTGTTAATACAAAATTGATGAGCTGTTCATTAATCAACTGCCAAACCAGCTGCATATACGAGTATGTGTGTATCGATGGAAAAATTTTCGATTGCCAGTCGCATGTTTAATGATGTGCGACCGATGTTTGGGCTAGAAACTTTGTATGCAAGTGGAGCCCCAGAGTCCATAACTAAAATTTAAGTTTATAGGAACCATAATTTTAGGACTGGTGTATGTTTTAATTCATAATTCGCTGGATTTGAGGTTTTTCTCAAATCTAAGCTGGCATGCCAAAGAAATTATACGAAATGATGGATTGAAGCTCTATAAAACATGATAAGTTTCCATAGTTTTTCGGACTTTAATAATTTTTCGAATTGAATTCGCAATTACATTTTGGCCAGGACCTCGATTAATTTCAGCTTTAATGAATAATTAACATTCATGAGGTTTTCTTAAAGAAAACATAAGAACCGGTGCGTATACGTGATGTTTTCTTACAAAAGATACCATATGCTCTATATTTTTTGGCAGAGAATGAGGCGCTTACTTAAGGTTCTTCAAGTTAATTTCAGCAATGACCCAGTTCATTGGTGTCTTCCTTGCTAATCTAATATACACCTTTCTCAATGGTGTGAACAGCCAAACATTTTTTATTAAGTTTCTAGCGTGTTTATCGGAAATCTAAGATAAAATATTTTGCATATACACAAAAATTCCCCAACTTTTTGCCGGAAAAGGCCAGAGATGCCATTGTGCCATGTCAAACCTTTTAAATCCGCACACATGTGTGTTTGGGGTTCGCTGGCACAGATGCTGTAGTCGAGGAATGCGGCAAGATAATTGATAAAAAACAGAAGGCACAGGCACGCCAGGAAGAGAGAGAGAGAGAGAGAGAGAGAGAGAGAGAGAGAGAGAGAGAGAGAGAGAGAGAGAGAAGAAATAACAACAACCGAGTCACGCACATACTCGGCACTCGGAAGGGTCCCATTCCGACCCCGTCGAAGGCCTCATTATTGCGCTGAGATAAGCAATTTACCCACTTGATAACCTTATCCTTCCCTTGCAGCACTCGTCTCTGGATCTGGCTTCTGGATGATGGGCTGTTGGGCGTCTCTTGGGTGGCCGGAAGAAGGCAGTTGTCTGTCAGTTGTTGTCAGAGTTTATTCAACGAGATATTAAAACCAAGTGAACTGAGCCCAAATGATATGAAATTAAATGAGAAGAGATCCGAAGAGATGAAGAAGGCAACTTATCAACGTATCGAAAGGCAAAAGTTTAAATTACAAGTACACATACGATTATGTGGTACTCGTGCTGTTCTGTTAATATTTTCGATTCTGAGTAGACTTTTAATTGCTTTCGATATGTTGTCATTTGCCATTAAGACCTTGCTTTAAATAAACTTGCAAGCTTTATTTTTGGAGTTTATTTAATCATCTTTCTAGTTGCCTAGACAACAGCATCTTGAGAGCTTACGAGTGTATGTATATAGCTGCTAATTAATTTCAGTTGGCTTTTATTAGAGATGGAGTGGTGTGAGTTGTCTCTTTGAAATTATTGATACAGATTGTTTAGAATCAGTGAAACAGCTTGTAGAGCTATTGTACTATACTTCAATTATTAATGCATTGTTCTTGGTCTGAAGATGAATGAAATCTCCCTGAGTCCCTCCTTCATTGTCTCTTGAAACAAAGAATATTTCATTTGCTTTCTTTGTGCTCTCATCCATTGCTTGAATTCTGAAAGCGGCAATGTGAGGATGGACGCATGGTTAAACTCCAAGATGTTGGTGACGGCTGACCTATGCACATATGTCATATGCTGAACTCCCTTGATAGTTCTACCCTCTATAGTTATACAATGGATCTATCGATTTTAAGCATTTCATTTATTTTCGCTTAGTTAATCATGCCGTAGGGGGAATTGCTGTTCACGGGCACATAGAAGTCACCGGCAACCATGTAGGCATTGGTGTCGGCTCCCATGCGGACGCCGCTGTAGGTGCTGCCGCACTGGTCGTTGACAGCGGCCTGGTAGTCGCCGCACTTGATCGTTCCGAAGTTGTCCTGGCTGACGGCCTCGGCGTAATAGGTGGTGGAGCGGCCGTGGGAGCAGGCGCCAGTGACGTCCAGGAAGCAGCCGGGCTGGGTCTTGCCGCCATTGGGGTAGAAAGCACCCTTACCGATGGGCTTCAGGAAGCCGAGGTTGCCGCCGTTGGTCTGGATGGACTCCACATACCAGGCGTCGGTGGAGCTGAGACGCTTGTTGGGCGAGTTGTAGCTGAAGAGGGGAAGTGCGGGGTCCAGGCCGATGATGGCGTAGATCTGGCCATTGGTGTTCTTGCCGGCGTAGCCGGAGACGTGAGCTCCGAGACTGTGACCGATGACATAGAGGTTGTCCAGGGACATGCCGAAGTCGGAGTTCAGGAAGTTGATCATGTTGGCGACCTTCTTTCCGGTGGCGGCGACGGCCATCACGGAGGTGGCGTAGTCAATGGAACGGGCGCGAGCCCAGTCAACGACGATCACGTTGTAGTCTCCCTGGCTCAACCAGGCGTTGCGGATGGCCTTGTTCATGCCAGCGGTATAGCTCTGAGTCCAGCCGTGGATAACGAAGCGGGTGGGGTTGCCGGAGTTGAAGTTGGAGTTATTGATGGAATTGTAATTGGCTTTAATCTTCTGGCCCTTGGTGGGGTTTGAGGAAGTGTACAGGTAGAATGTGACGGGCACGGTGGTCAGGCCGCGAGACTCCAAGAGTTCCTGCTTCTCCATCCAATCCTCCGCAACATCCTTGTCCACCCACTCGAAGGTGCCGTCCTGCTGGGGAACGTACCAGCCGTTCTCGCCATTGACGCGGTCAGCCTCGTCCAAGGCGTATGCCGAAGCTGTCAGATATAATTGTAGTCCGCTATATAAACCATTATCAGAAGTATGATTACAAGGACTTACCGGCAAGCGCGCAGAGTGCCAAAAGAATAAAGGTTTTCATTTTGTTTTAGTACCGAAAACTGATTGATGAATAGGTCGACAACTGGCTCTTTTATAGGCAAAAACTTATCGGCACAAGATTAGACTCACTTGGAGGTGGTCAGAGCTACTTAGAATATAATCATCTAATAGCACCCCAGGGGACAAGTGGCTTTTGCGGTTTTGGTGGAATGCCAAATCAGATGGGACATTTATCTCTGGATTGTTGTTCCACTGGGTTCGATAATGAAATGCTAAAGTTGCTGACGAAGGTGAAAGTGGCAATTTGTGTTATGCGACCCTCAACGCGCGACATGGATGTACATTTTATATTTCTACCATGGAGCCATCGACAAACGTATGACCGTATATATTCATAAATTCCCTCTTTAATTATACCGAAACTCTTATACCGATTACTGCCTGGAAGTATGCAATGCTTTTTGTTCAAGCAGATTATGAAAATTATTAAGTAGCCGCAATGTAGTGCAGCACATTTTGAGATTCCCGCTAATTGCAGCTCCAACTTTTTACTTGCAGATTGCCAGCGATAGGAGGAACTGGGAGCAACTTTGAAGAGCGTGGATTTTTGGCCAAAATGCTGATGAGTAGAACGAAACTCTAGGAACCGCAGTACAAGGAGACAGAAAAGTTTTCAACGACTGTAAGTTTTCTAAGAGTTTGCGGTTCCCCTCGACGCGCTTGAATGGAGTTTGACAATGGCTTGCTGTGGCACAGCCAGCGGGTGGCCGGCAGCGAGCTGAGTGACGAGCGACTCTATTACATAGCCCCGCAGCAGCCCCTGCTGCGCAACGAGGAGGATGACTACCCGGACGTCTCCCTCTCACTCACAGACTCTGCCTCGCTTTTGTACAACGCCACAGCCGGCTCTGGCGAGCTGGAGGTGCGCGATGCAGAGGCTGTCTACAGTTATGCTTCAACGACCACGCTCAATGGCCTGGACTTTGAGCACTTCAATGTCACGGTCCTGATGAACTTTAGCTGCGAGGAAACGGAGTCCTCGTCGGATGACGTCTGGTCCAGCGTCTACTTTAAGAGCACCGTCTACCTGCTGTACATTCCAATCTTCATATTCGCGCTGATCGGTAACGGCACCGTCTGCTATATCGTCCAGTCCACGCCGCGCATGCGCACCGTCACCAATTACTTTATCGCCAACCTGGCGCTCGGCGACATCCTGATGTCTTTATTCTGCGTGCCCTCCTCCTTCATCTCGCTGTTCATCCTCAACTACTGGCCCTTTGGCATAGTGCTCTGTCACTTTGTCAACTACTCGCAGGCGGTGTCTGTGCTAGTCAGCGCCTACACTTTGGTGGCCATCAGCATTGATCGATATATAGCCATCATGTGGCCCCTCAGGCCTCGCATCACAAAGCGGTAAGTGGGGGACGCGGTGGGGTTTCCAGCGAAATGATTTTCCTTTGACTTTTCATTTCGCCCACAATACCATGAAATGCTGTTTAATGCAAACTATTATTGCCTTGGCTGGGGATCAGCGCATAAATTAGTCTGTAAACAGTTTACGAGAAACTTTTGATGGCCAGTAAAATTAATTGAAAACTTGTTTAAACACTGGAACCCATTGTAGGGTTTTGTTTTGGGAACAATGCTGCAAAGTTCAAATGTTAAATTGCTGGTTGATTAGAGTAGATTTTCTTAAGGAAGAAGCATATTAGGGCCACATTAGCTCCACTCTAAACTCCTTCGTTAGCTTTAGCTTGAGTACGTCCATCAAGTATTTTATTCAAGTGCACAGTCTCGACGTCTTAGTGGCGTGCCCGCACACCGTTAAGTGGCCGCTTGGCTATTTGCATTGCTAGGCCCACTTTGGAGTCTACTTGACCAAAACGCTGGTCTCCAGGGAGGCGGCGTCAATGGCTCGCCGGTTCGTGTTAATTGGTTTAAATAGTAATCCAAAACCCTGACGCTGCGGAAAATCCAAAGCACCCATGCTGGCCATTTGCCGGACGCATTGAAAACGTCAATTTGCTTGGTAACTAAATACGATACGGCATTGCCATTGCCTCGACCACTCGACCACCAGACCATCAGCCGGTGTCACTCACACTGCCATCCATCTCCAGTGGAGCTGAAGACCTCTGGCGTGAGTATTTTACGCCCGGACGACTTTTAATGGAGGTTCAACATGGCTATGAAGCGGGTAGTGAGTTTGGGCCACCCAGGCCACGTCAGTGTGGGTGCGGGGGTGGGAGTCCTGTTGTGCAAATATTTGCGAGGCCATAAAGTAAATACGGTTGATAATTATTCAACGTGACTGTAATTTACGCACACGCCACGACGCTACTGCCACTGCCACTGCCAGCCAACCCTACCGTACCTCACCGCCATAAATGCTCGCTTATCATGCTCGCTTCTCCGCCGGATAAGCTACAAGGAAAGACAGACCGCACCGGCATCACTCATACGTCACGGTGTGTCGGAAATTTTCAAACTGTTTAAGAATTTACGCAGGCATTTGCCAGCCGGAGATGGGGTGGGGCAGGGTGACATAAGTGGAAAGCATGCGTATGAAAATAACAGAAATTTTAAATATTTAAGAGACGAATCAGATGTACTTACGAGCCACTTATAAATTTTTCCTCTCTCTCTCTCTCGTTTCAGCTATGCTAAATTTATCATCGGCGGCGTTTGGTTTATTGCACTTGCCACCGCGTTTCCCATACCTGTCGTCTCCCGCCTCGTCATGCCCACATCGGCGTGGCACGAGAAATGCGAGAAGTAAGTACCGCTGCCACTCGAAACATGGCAGAACATCCTGCAGTGTTTGTTTGCCACACTTCCATCTTCAGCTCCAGCTTTTGTCCATGTGTGTGTGTACTAAATGTAGCATTAAAGAAATGACTTCGTGCGTAGACGGATGTTTGGGGCATTATACTTGACTGCCGCCATTTGGAATGATTTCAACTTTAAGAGAACCTCCTGTTTGAGATGCTGAAAACACTCGCTCTTGAGTGGCGTGCAAATAAAAAATATTACAAGCATTTTTCTTCTTTGCCTCCCACTAATCAGAGATGGACTGTTCTCGACAGTATTTTTAGCTTTTCCTCATAGGAGAAACGAGCAGGGAGGCGGGCCAAGATCAAGTATAATATAAATGCCAATAGGAAACTCATCTGAAGGCTGCTTAACCACAGCTCTGCTGCGTTCAGACATGGCAGGCACGTTGTGGAAGCTAGACGTCATGTCTAATTGTGACAACAGGACAACGGCTGTTGCCGGCGGCTCATTGTCCGGCAGCAGGGCCCTCAAGACCAGATGCAGCCCCTGGAGCTGCATAATAGGGCAGAATCCTAGGATGATAGAAACCCTGCAACAATTTAACAGTTCCTTCACGGCTGGCTCTCGAGTGGCATGCAGCTCACGGTCTAACGAAGGGAATGGCATAAAAAATAAATGGCGCACTCAGCCATGAATGCGGGCGTGTCCGTGCGTCCGGGCATCCTCTGTGTGGCAGCTGATGTTGAGAGCCAGCAGATTCGTCCACGCATCCCCTACGAGTAGTAACCAGCCCCACACTAATTCATTGGCTTGTGTCTTTTGTCTCTCGTTCTATGGCCTGCACGCAAATGCCACCTCCTTTCGGCCATGTGCTCGGACCGACCTCAGATACATCTGCCGCGAGATGTGGCCGTCCAGCGCTCAGGAGTACTACTACACACTGGCCCTCTTCACGCTGCAGTTCGTCGTGCCGCTGCTGGTGCTCATTTTCACCTACACGCGCATCGCCATCGCCGTCTGGGGCAAGCGACCGCCTGGGGAGGCGGAGAACTCCCGGGACCAGCGCATGGCGCGCTCCAAGCGCAAGGTAAGTCAATCATCTGCCAACCGCAAAAACTAATTTCCTCCAAAAAAGGACCTAACCATTAGTCGGTGCCCCCCATGGCTTTGGGATTAAATAAAATGGGGAAGAACATATGGTGGTGAGTGCCTTGGCTGCCTATCGGGGCATGAAGGGACGCCTGTACGCCTGTCCCAAGTACAAGACAATTGCTTGTATTTTTCCCTTTAGTGTAGTTGGCATTCAAGGCCCCTTTAATATGCTAAAATGTTTTCCTATTTGCCGCTCCTGTGCCCCTGCTCTGGGCAGTTGGAGAACGTGTTTCTACATGCAACTGGCATTGTTCGGACATACTGATGATGCCTGATTGAATTGCAAATCCAAGAGGAAAGTCAAAAAGAATTCCAGGAATTTGAATCTACAAAAAAGATGATTTAAACGTTGCATTGCTCAGTGAATTTTCAAAGAATTTGTTTGCTGGAAAGACTTGAATAAAGTTTTTTTTATTATGATTTAACAGCTTACAACTTTATTTGGAATCTCTCTCATCCAGTCGTTGCATAAGTTGTATCAAAGACTCAATCGATCCGAGCCATCTCCTTTGAGCTTTTTTGTTGACTTTAAAGTTTAACCCCAATAGCAGCACCTTGCCACTACCTGTGCACCCTCGAACGCGAGCTGCGGCATCAACGGAGGCTGCTCGAGCGACTGTGCCGCACGACGACAGCTGTCGAAGCAGCAATCTTCAAATTGATTTTGCATTTTTTGTTCCCCCCCCCCCCCCGCCTCATTTCTGGGGTCAATGAGGAGCAAGCGTGGCAAGGCTGGCTTCCTGCTCCTCTGAACGAACGGCTATCATGGTTTTGGGTACGGGTTTTCGGTGTGGGTATGGGTTTGGGTTTGGTTTTTGGGATTGGGCCTAGGCTGGGTCTTTGGCAGCGTGCCAAATGGCATGTAATGCTCACATAATCACACGGCGCATGCGCAGCAACTATTTACAATAAACTTGCAGCGCCTCAGCCAAATAAATGAGTAGAGATATATGCGGTGCACCTCGTACTTGGTACATGGGTCTCCGAAGCCTATACACTTGCCAGCTGGAGGCCTAGGCTGAGGCTGCGACTTCGACATCGACATCGACTGCGTCTGAAGATGGCATCCAGCGTTTGGTCTTCCAGGAAATCATTGCAACTACGAGTGCGAGTGCGGGTCGGGTCGGGTGCTGGTGCGGGTGGAATGACGACCACGTAACCAGTTGTCAAACGAGCCTCCTCGGCCTGTGGCCAATGGTGCAGCTGAGATTCCTCTGCCAGACGACGATGACGATGACGATGACGACGACGACACAAAGAAAGCCAGTTAGCTGAGAGTGAAAATTTGTATGCTGTCGATGACGATGAAGATGAAGATGACGACCTTTCCTGGCCATTCGTTCGCACAGCTGGACGGGGCTCCTCTCTCTTTGGCCGGCAATCAAAACCTACGCTTCATTGCATCGGGCCAATGTGTACTTGTGGACATCCGTCATTGAGCAGTAATTATAATCGCCATATTTGAGGGAGAACAAAGACAGGGCCCAAATGAGAGACCAATGACTGCCGGCAGAAAGCAGACAGCGGACAGGGACTCTGTCATCTCCCATCCACAGCCGCTCCAGCGGCTGACAGTTTCGCCCACTGCGCGGTGCAATGTTACCCAATTCGAGCCCGAGGCGACAGCTGACTGCAGCTTCATCTGCCATTCACTTTTTCCGATTCATTTGGCCCCACCATCGCCTCCTGTGACGGTTGAGTTGACCATCCTTCGATGCAGTTTCCCAAAAAAGTACGAGTGGCTTCAAACAGTTATTTGGTTACTTAACTCGGCAACAATTTTGCTGACTTGGATTTCTCATTTTCTCATGGCCAGCCGGCTGCCTCCCTTCGTCCGCCTATACTCCGCCCCCTCCCTGGTGCTGCCGTTGACAGTTTCCTCCTTGTATGCTTACGTCTTTCAAACATTTCTGCCAATCGCCAGCTCAAAAATGATTAGCAAATTACTCGTACTTGCTCTCCCCAGGGGTATTCGTCTTTGGTTCACTTTTCGGGCTTCCTCGTGGTCGTAATTGTCGACTTGTTAAATATTAATTGAAAATTACACGATTATTTGGTAATATTCCAATTAATTGTTGGACGAAGCGTGGTTATGGGGAGCGATGGGGCGATGTAGTGTATACTTGATGTCTTTGGGGTATAGAAAGAAGGATGGTGGAACGGAGGTCGTGGTATCATAGAAAAAGAATATAATAAGATCTCAAGCAATCGTTAAGGCCATCACCCGAATCAATCATCATGTTTATGTGTCCTAAGAGTATGATTATTCCATCAAATAGTTCATTAAAGACCAGAAGTGACACATCGACCATAGTTTTTCCTTTACACATTTTCTGCATTCAACGAACGTTGGCCCGTAAGTGATTTTCAATTTATCATCAGCAAAAAAGACTGTATTCATAAATTGCATTCCCTTTTGTGGTGGCACTTTGTCAATATTTGTCAAGTGTTTCCTAAATTCGTTTGCACGAGTTGCAAATCACAGTCCATCTAATTGCTGGGAAACACACCCATAAAGACCGTACAATAAGGCAAAACAATCAGCCACGATATGAGTCTGAGGCGTGAAGGGAAAGGGAAACGGAGGTAGTATTATGGCCGACCAGGGGCGATGACACTTCACAGTCTCTCAGAGCCACAGCCACAGGCGATTGCAACTTTGGATTGAGTTTCAGTATTTTCTTATTTCGTTTCTTTTTTGGTATTTCGTTTGCGGCAGCTGGCCGTCGCCCAGGCCGGAGGCGACTGCATCTTCGAGTCTGCATTTGAGTATGTTTTGTCAAAGTGTTGGCCGGTACAATAAATGTGTAGGAAACTTGGCTCATTTGGCGGGGATGCCGATGCTGTTAACGCGATTGCTTCTTGTTTGGATGCAAAACGTTAATTGCATAATTGACTGCAAGAGGCGTAACTTACGGCCCGAGAGTGTTCATGTATTGGCCATCAGTAGCATCATCATCCTGATAACTAAGCCCCCCCGTGGACGGACCGGCCCGGCCCGTTGCCCGGCCCGATGTCCGGGCCGATGCTCGCTGACCATGCCACGAAACAAAGACTGATGACCCATCGCCAGACATGGGCAGGTCCAAAGAGAGGCGGACACTCCACACTCCTCAGTCTGCAGTCCCGCAACGGGTTCCCATTTTGAGTTTTTCTTTCATCCATTTTTATTTCTCCGGCTGCAGACATTGCAACGCCACTGCCACTGGCTGCATCGACGCAGTCTTCTCTTTCTGTTGAATTGTGTTAAAATGTTAATTTCGTATTACGTAATCTGTGTCATATCCAGCAAGCAGCATCAGGCACCCAGTGAGGCAGCCAGCTGGGATCTTCATCATCAGCAGCAGCAGCATCAGCAGAAGCAACGGCGGCAGGGGCAGCACCCATACCGACACAATGGGCGGTGCATGTGAAAAAAAGTGAGAGGATTCCCAGGCCTGGCCAGTGGATTCGCTTGCATCGCTTGCTGACTCACACACAGAGATACACCCACACACAGGGTTGCACTTTGTGCGTTTTGTGGCAAATTAAAAGATAAAACTCACCGATGCAGCAGCTGCAACAGCAACAGCAACATCTCCAGCAACAGGCTGCAATTAGTCGTGCAGCCCCCCTCCTCCAGTTCACATCTCTCCATCCGCCTCTCTCTGAAATTCCGGTTCTGCCCCATGACTTTTCCCAATACACTTTTGAGCCCTTTCCATGCCATTGATTTATTTTACAACAATTTGTTTGCCTCTACCTGTCTGTCAACTCCAATTGTAGTCTGAAGCTTGGGTGAAATATTTCAAATTCATTCTCTAGAAATTGTGCAAAACTGTGGCTGAAATATTGCCGGCAATAGTTCATGGAAAACATTTATTTTTGCATTTTCCTGTGGCTCCCAGTAGTTTGCTGCGGCCACGTGGTGTATGGTAGCTCAATTAAGTATTGATATATGCACTTTCTCTATTGATATATGGGTAATTGAAAATTTAATAAAGTCTGGAAATGGTATTACAATTTGAAATTAAATTGCATTTTGCCAAAATTATTAGAAAGACCACACGTGAAATGAATATAAACATAGCCATTGTGGAAGCTAAATGTTGCCAAAATAATTGCTATTTCTATGATGAAAGGTGGAACTTTGGAAGAGTCTCTGAAGTATACTTTTTTGGGTTTTAAATTGAGAACTTCGTACTCCCAAATGACCTATGATTTAGAAATCGTAGGAAAAACTTGGTCTTCTTATACGAGTGTGTTCTATCATTCATGGGATTTCTCATATAATTTCTTTACGATTCTAAGGCCAAGTTTCACATTTGTTTGCGTCTGATGATTTATGAGCTTTGGCCAAACATTGACATTCCTTAATCTTCATTATTCATTCGAGTCGAGTTTTCGAGACTGGAATCATTTCCTAATGAGCATTGCATAATGTCCATTCTGCTCATTGACGCTCATTGGCTTTGGGTCGGTGTCCATCAATTATTGAGCAAACACGTAGAAAGACATTAACATTAACATTCGATTTTATGGGCCCGTTTCAGCGAAACTCTGTTTGCCCTCGACTATAAAATTTATCCGTCTGCCATTTCGGCCATTCGCTTTTCTTCTCGTATTTGTAATTTCTGGTTAAATCAATAAGACTAAATGCCGTGTTTATTGTGGCGCAACGGCGCAGGAGTTTTGCCTGCCGGACTGCCGCCACCGGTGTTGGCGACAATAAATTAACCAATTAATGTTCGTAAATTAAAGAGAGACTCTAATAGGTCCCAGGCTCAAGGAACTGACTCAACCTGTATATAAATTTCAGTGGCGTTCTTGCAACGCTTCGGGGGAGAATAAAAATCCACAAAACTGTCTGAGATACCTCCTTTCAGCTTTGGCGAGGGGCATCCTCAACCTCTGCAGCATGACTTGCAGCACTGTCATCGAGTCGGAGAGGGGATT